GCAGCGGCTGTAGTTTCATCATCTCTTTATCTTCTCACACCAACATAATGTTCCCATTAATTTGCAGATACAGTGTTCGCTGCTTAATGCTTCCACTTCAGCGTCATTTATTTCAAGAGCCTTCAAAGCAGCTGAGCTTCACTGTGATTCATTTGACAGGTGAGCCTCTCTAATTTCTAGTAACTGCAGATGCTCGGTACCTGTTCTTGTGTCAGGCCTCTGTAGCGGATGCCCCCGTCCCTGGGAGGCCGGATGATGGCACAGCCTGAGGAAAGACAGACAAGAAAGGAAGACTGAAGGACGATAGGAGCACAGAGGGGAAGCTCCGTCTCCGCATAATGTAGAAATATTACAGCAACATGATATATTATCAATTTAACTGACGCCTTCCTCGCTGCACAAATTACAGCGCTTCATTCAGGTCACTTAGCCATCTCTGAGGATTCACTTCTGTCCATTAATGCACACTGTAAACAGACACACACTGACTGCATCCCGCCGCAAACACACACAAATTACCTCCAGCTGATGAATTATGTATGGGCACAACAAGGGATGGGAGAGCAGAGAGGATCATCAGAAACAATAGCCGTGCCATTTCTGGATCTGCAAGAGAAAGAGAGAGAGAGGCTTTAAAACAGGGCAGTGTGACAGGGAAATTGTGGGTTTTGGAAAAAGACAGAGGAGGAAATAGGAAACCAAACGGAGTGTTACTGAGGATTTATTCTTACAGTAGTAATGCTGCACTCTCAGGTCTCACACAGTCATTTCTGGTTCACTGCTGCGCGTCTAAAAGGGATGCATCAACTTTCAACCTGCCTGCCGGTGCAGCGACAGGATGAGCTGCAGGATGAGTCCACTTTTCTCCCTCCGCCTCTGTTTGTATGTACAGCGCAGACAGCTCAGGTTCACATGACGGCTGCACACACAGCTCCAGCGCAGGTTGTGGTGCTTGATGCTGATGTCTTTTGCAAAATTGACTCATTGTAGAACGATTTCACAGCAAAGCAACTCAAAAGACTTCCAGGAAAATATGTGGAGTAGCTGGGCTACAAAGGCTCTCCTTCTGCACAGTGAGAGGTGCTGTTTGGTGTGCTGACAGACTTTAAGGCACAATGATTCCTCTTTGCCACCTACTCACCGGCAACTCTCCATCGAATTCAACCTGACTGGCAACAATTTGGTCGGAGGATTGGGTCCATTATGCTAGCAGCGGCTAATGTAGCCTGGAGCGTGGAGCAGGCGTGAGGAGTGGACCACAGAGGTCTCACGCCGACGCTCTCACCTAAGGAGATTTATTAGACTCGGCAGCTCACTTAGGACCCACGAAAAGGGGTTCACACGACACTTTTCCACTCCTGCAGCGGTTCTCCACCTGCAAACAAACTGTGATGTGCAACATCTGAGAGGTTTCACTTTAAACGAATCAATAATATCAGTCAGTGCTGTCCTGATACACAGTGAAAAACAACATCACTTAAATGCCAAATGACCATCCACTGGACCACCTCACAGCTGTCACATCACATCTGAGCTCACAGTAGAGCTTGTTTAAAAAAAACTACTCACCGGTTACATGCACTGATAAAACACAGGCCTCACAGCAGGAACTCAATGCAGCAAAAGCCAGGACACCTTCCATTACTGGGACTTTAATGTTTTGTTGTCCATACTTCATGTGTCCAGCCTTATTTCTCCGTCCTCCTCAGCAGGAAGGACACCACCCTCCTGGAGAGGCTGTTGTTCCAGCTGCTCTCTGCTGGAGGGCTTGTGCTGCTCGACCTTTCTCTTTAAACGCCCCAGAGATGTTCTCTTAGATTAAAGTCAGGCCACGTTCTTGTCCAGGTCGTAGTTTTCACTTTGTTCTTGTGTAGAAACTCTTGTCGGATTTTGTGCTTTGATGCTTCTCCTGCTGGAATATTCCTCTTCTTGAAGCTCCTGCAGACTGGGAGTCGTCCTGTCAGCCAGTGTTTTGGTTCATCCTCAGACATTCATCCTGCATCGATAAGTCTCATCTCCCCAACACCTTCTGCCCTCATGCAGCCCCACATCATGATGCTGCCACCTCCATGCTTCACTGTCAGGACCATGCATCCACTGTGGTGGTCCTGGTCAGGTTCACACCAAACATCTGGACTCCATCTGAGCCCAACACATTTATTTTGGTCTCATGATGTTTTGAAGTGTCCTTCAGACTGTCTGATCTTCACAGAAACTGTGATTTCCACTGTGCCGAGCCTGAAGCAGCTGCTGTCTGGTGTTCACAGCTAGTTTGTGACAGTAGCTGACTGTCCGTGGAGTCATCGTAGGAGGACGACCACTGCAGCCCTGATCAGTGCTGCTGTGGCTCCTTCTGGACCTCCTGGTTACTGATGTGACTGTGATTCACTGATTTTTAGGTGATCCTCCTGCATCCTTTTCCATCTTTGTGAAGCCTCACAATCAGATGTGTCAGTTCCTTTGGCAGGTCTTTTCCACGTGGAGCCACGATGCAGACATGCAGATAGACACGGGTCATAGGTCCAGAACTGAGAAGGTTCTGCTGCAAGTCATGCTGTGAGGCTGAGTGGGAATCACAGGTGTACTCTGTTCAGTTTCAGGATCGCAGATGGATTCGCTTTTGTTGCACCGAGTTTGTACTTTGGGCTTTCTATCCAGTCTTTGTAAAGTATTTGTTTTAGACGATGAGAAGAAACACTTAGACGAGTTCTGAACTGAGAACTAGTGCAACTGTTCAACGGGGATCTCATTTAGAATCGCCTGACATTTAGGTGATGATGCCCGGGGTCGTACTCACATCCGTACGGTGAGCTTTAACATACCGCAGCCCTTCTTAACGTGCACACAGGCACAGGAGCATGGACCACACAGGCAGTGCAAAGCAGCACAAAGGCAAAAGAGCCATGAGTGCATTGAGCCCCAGCGTGTGGAGAGCTGGCAGGCAGGGAAACACATGATGACTGTATCAACCATAAACACACTATATATAGCTGCTCATTTGCAGCTTTGAATAATAAATGTGGCTTCATGAGGCTGTCCCACATGCACACACATAAACAACCAGAGACTCTGAGGCCTGACAGGGAGAGTGGCTCTCTCTTATGAGTGTGTGTGTGTGTGTGTGTGTGTGTGATGGGTAGGGGGGTAAAATAAAGCAAAGCACCACAGCGAGGGAGACAGATGGCAGCGAGGCTTGCTGGTGGAAGACAGACAAACTCTGCTGGATACTTCATTAGCATTATCCAGAGTATTTTTAGAGTTTGCTGACAAGAATCCTGCAGGAGGTAGACTCCACCACCACACACTGTGCGTTCTGTATGTGTGTGTGCTGTGTGGGGGCAAAAAAGAGGGGAGAAAGAAGGACAGCCCAGCAGGATTCATTAATATCAGCGCTCACACACTGAGCCAGATAAAAGCCAACCAGCCACAGCTCCATCAGCCGCCGGAGCGCACAGGGAGGAGGCCGGCACGTCGCCCCGAGCTGGAAACGCAATGACGGCTCCAGCACCGCGGACAGCGCCTGCTCCGCCGTTACAAAACACCTCTCCACCGCACGCTGCCCACTTCCCTGCGCGCTCATCACGCCCGTGGAAGGAAGGGAAAAAAACAGGCCCAACCCGGCCCACTCCGGCAGCAGCAGAGCCGGCTTCAGAGGCGGGCAGTGGCTATTTCCAGGCAGGTCCACACTCAGATGCTGCATTTCGTGCATGGCTGAGCGTGAACTGCTGAGACGTGAGGGTCACAGTGAGGCTGCCACCAACCGTATGCTGCCGGTAGCTGCTTGTCGGCTGTTGACAGGGAATCCGTGATGGCCTGTAGCAGAAGGCCGACCACAGCAACGAGCCCGTGTCGCCCTCAGACGTATGAATCTCTGACTGACATGTCATCGGTGTGAACAGCCGTGAAATCCCACATATTCTCTCTCTCTCTCGAAAAAAAAAGAAAAGCGCAGACACGATGGTGCATCAAACACAGGAGCAGGCCGCTCTGCCCTCCTGCATTCACAGCGACATCTGTGTGGATTATGTGCACAGCAAATGAATAAATGTGCTCCAGCATCCCAGCAATAGCAGCACGTAGCGCCCTGAAGCAAAGCGTGAGTACTTACTCTGGTTCCGATGCGCTCCGCCGGACAGCAGCGCGTCCTCCGGGTGGGACCCGCCGGGGAAAGCCCAGCGTCGGATTATTTGGTAAAAATGTGCATCTTTGTCATTTGTATGGCTGTATTAATATGGCTATACAGTAAATGTGCAAGCTGCTCGGCGCGTAAACACAACGTTAGAAAAACAGCGCGCGTCTCCTCCGCTGGTTGTCGCTCCGCGTCCTGCGCGCGGCGACGGCAGGAAACGGCGGCAAACAGAAAAATCCGTACAAAAAATATACATGCACTATATACAAAGCGTCCCCATGAACGACGAAACAGCGATTCACCACACTCCCCTCCCTGCGCTCCCTCTCCCCCCTCTCTACAATCTTGAGCTAATTCACGACGTCATGATGGAGACGCACCGTGCGTAACAGCCCGCTCTCACGCATCTATCGGAGCCTTCCCCCTCCCTCCCTCCGTCCTTCCTTCCTTCCTCCTCCTTCTTTCCAAGATAACACAAGGTCCAGTCCCACAACAGCAACACATGATGATGAATGTTAAGGAGCGGATCTGGGTTTATGATAAGCTCGTGGACTTAGTGGGACCAGAAGCGGAGGAGGAGCAGAGCGGAGGCGCAGATATGGCGCTGTGGTATTAGCGCAGACTACACTGCTAAGCCTGTTTCTAAAGCTCTTTGGAGCTTAAGGCAACGAAGCAGCAATCAGGCATTTCTACACCACTGGTCATCTATTAAATCAAACGCCTCCCCCTCCTCCCCCCTCCTCCCCCACTCCTCTTCTTCCATCTATTCATATCTATACATGAGCTGAATAATTGAAGGGAGCAGGGAAGACACAAGCTCTCCTCCTGCAACACACATCCACATTCACTCCACATCAGAAGACAGGTGAAGTCCAGGAGGCCAGGAATCTGTTTTTATTGATTATAGACATGACAATGCATAAATAGGAAACAGGGAAGGACACCGACTGATTCACGGAGGGTGCCGAGGAGCTGTGAAGCCAGCAGTGGAGGTGGCAGGGTGTTGCACACAAACTGTGACAGTGATGAGACGCTTTAAATAAACCCGCGGGATCCACAACATCTGTACAACAAAATAAATTGTCAAATATTCAAATCGGCGACACACGTCTCAACTGTACACGTCAGTATTTTCCAGCTTTTGTAATAATTACACACATTTACAGTCTTCTTCTGACTTCACTGATCAGCTGCTTTGACAATCAAAATACAATATCATGGAGAAAGAAAAAACATCCACGAATCAGAATGTTCAGGTCTGACACGGTGCCAGGTGAGTCTGCTGATTAAAAGGTTCTAAAAATCATAAAAGGGCACTCACTTGTTCTCTAGATAGCCCAAACGGCGCTGACATCGAGCTACTACTGGAGCTAAATTTACTTGTTCTGTGTCAAGGCACACTTCAAATTACAACAAGGGCTTTCTTTCTTTTCTTATCTGAAACAAAAAGGCAAACAGAGAGGAAACGCACCCAGTGTTTCACATGTAAACAAGTCCTGAACAAGGCTTCAGCGTTAAAACATAACAAGCTAAAGTGGCGGAGCGTCCACCGTGACGGTGGTTCTGTAGCTTATAGCCGGAGAACGGCGCCAGTCCGTCCGACGTGGAGTGCATGCTGTCCGAGTGGAAACTGGCTTTCAGGAACTTTCAAAAACCGCATTCTCTCGTGCCGAAAACAATACGTGCAGCATGTTAGAGGAAGGTAGGACATGGAGCCGGGATTCAGACATGCTCTCACTCTGCACCGACACAAACGTTTTTCTCATGTTTCCTGCTCTCAGAGCGCACGCAGCCGCCTGCGACCCTCTACCTCCAAGCCGCCGCTGATAAGACTCGACACGCCTGGAGGGCAGCAGTGGAGGTGGGGGCAGATGTTTTCACCAGTCTCACCAAATTAGATCAGTGATTAGTCTGCGACAGTGAGACAACGCCGCCTTCTAAAGACGTCTGTTCAAACAGGCTTTTCATCTTTCTCGGCTGCTCCTTCATGCTCCAGGAGCAAATCCTACCGGATCCTCAGAGGGAGTGAATACACAGAATACTGGTCCTGCAGGAATGTAAGCGCTGCAGACGCCTGTAGTGTTCTAGCTAGGCTGCGATGCTAACTGAGTTCAGCGCTATGCTAATGTTGTTGTCAGTCAAAGTACGTGTGCTTATTTACACTGGGTCTGATGCAGCTCGGATGGCTGCAGCGAGCTCTCTGGTTCCTCTGGGTGGACCTGGTGCGTGCAGCAGCGCTCTGCGTGACGCCTCACAGGCTGAAGCTGCGGTGGTGCTGCTTGTAGAACTGCTGCTGGCGCTCTTTGGCGCTCGTTTCCATCAGCTTGTCTCTTTTGTTCATCACGGCCGCTCTCTCTTTCTCCCCTTCGTCCCCAGTTACGCTCCCCACATCGCTGAGGTCCCCGAGGTGCTCGATGGAGTCGTATTTCTCCAGGTCGGAAGCGATGGTCTGCAGGCTGAAGACGGAGAGGGAATCCGAGCCGGCCCGCTCCCTCTCCTTTTCATTCTCCTTCTCCTTATATCTCTCCACCAGGTCGATGGCTGAATCAACTGGATTTTTCCCCATCGCGCTGCCGCCGCCGCAGGCTCCACCTTCTTCCTGAACTTTGCTGTCGGCCTCGGCCCCGATGGGGGGGCTCCGCCCGGCGCACACGGTGGGGCGTCCTCCCTCCTCCCGCCCCCTCTGAGCGTGGATCTGCTCGCTGATCTGCTCCAGGTTTCGCAGGGCGATCGAGTAGCGGGTCTTGACTTTGGCTACGTGCTGCTCCAGCTGCAGCACTTTGGCCTTGTGCTCCTGGAGTCACACACAGCAACTTTCATCATCAATTTCAACATTGATTTCATGTCAAAAGAGGCAAATACCCTCCCACTGACCTCTAACAATCCATAAAGACACCGAATACATTACGGCGTTCTCGCCAGTTCAGCAGCACGATTCTAAATGAACCCCACAAACAGCCAAAGTTTCTGAGTGAGAGGGTGACAGTGCACTGGAGCACAGCCGAGCGGCTGCTGGGACATGTGTGTCTGCATTACCTCCAGAATGTGGTTGAACTGGGCCTTGAGCTCGAAGTAAGGCTTGGACTTGAGGATGACTCTTTTGAGGGACTTCTGCAGCATCTGGACCCGAGCCTCGGCCTCCTGGCAGGCGTGCGTGACGCGCATGTGCTCCCTCTCGCTGCGGAGACGCTCCTCCTCGGCTTCATTCACCTGCGACACGATCACACACACACAGAGCGACGTGTCCGGACTGAATAAAGGCCCGGCTCTGGGATGCAGGTACTGTGTCTGCTCATGAAACCAACACACAGAGCAACGGTTCTAGTGAGCTATCAACGAGACCGTTACTCCTCCTCCATGAAGTTCTTGTCAAAGTGATAAAAAAAAAGAAAAGAAGAAATCCACATAGTAAACAAATCAACACTGGAGTCACCGTAAGCTGAAGTTTACTGACAACTGCTTTCTGATTGGACGTAACGTTGCTTCAGTCCAGTATTGCAGTCCTCCAGTGTTTGACTGTCCCATAACGGACTTATGGCACACTCTGTACTGTCAGGTTCTACCTTGAAGCGCCGGCAGGTCAAAGCGACCCCTGCAGAAAAACAGTGCAGTTTTGGTGCCTTCCTGTGCATGTGTCATGTTGCTGTGGCGCTGCCTTCAGCCTACAGGCGTGTGAGGTGAGGTCGGGTCATGAGTGATCGGCTCAGCTTCAGCAGGGTCAAACAAACAGAGTCATGCGTAGACATCCATCATTAAACCTGTTCAGGCTCCTGTAGCCTTGTTAAGAGAATTATCATATAATAAAAGTTCAGTGTTCTATCATTTTATTGCCATGTTGGAAAAGGCTTAAAGGAAGCAGCACTAGCATTAAACAGCCCTGTGAGAAAAACTCCCTCAAGTCCATGCAGTCTAACAAGGAGCTGTAGTCTGAGTGTCTCCATCCTGTTTGAGTCTGAGGTCACATCCACCACGTAGGTCTTGTCCTCCGTATGGTTCCAGGAACATCTTACCTCAGTGTAGATAATGTATGGACTCAGATGGGATCAAACCATCATGCACCTCTGGCACATGGCCCCATAAAGACGAGTCAGGTGGTGATAAAACTCTGACTGCAAACCTACATCTAGGAGCTCTACCTGCATGTGTGTTTCCTCTTTCCCTGCTTCAAGTAAACATGGTTCTGGTGTCGTTCACAATCACCCACGCAGCCCTGTTTTGGTGTTTTACATTACAACTGTCCACACGACTCAAACATTTACTTACACATTCTTTGCCTCTCGAAG